AGGATAATTGGGTTAGTGTTTAGTTCTCCCAGGAGATCCACCCTGACATGGAGTTCTGAGTCGTCCAGCAAGGGTCTGTGTGTGTGTCTGTGGGCTGCACATGTTCCGCTCTGGGTCATGTGCTTGGGAGGGAAGAGGCAGCTACCTTTCCAGCCATTGCCGAGCTGTGTCTCCCATAGGATGTATTGGGGAAATGGTGTTTGTGTGTGTGTGTGTATTTCACAGCTCTCAGCCAAATCCAGCCTATTTTCAAAATTGGTGTTATGTTTGCCAGCATTTCTCTGTGTAGCTGTTCTCTTTTCCAAGTGTGACCAGACTGAGTCAAAAGTCGCTTTAGGCAATTTCTTTCCAACATTTTTCTGGAATGGGAAGCATAAAAGGGAAATAAAAACAAATCCTTTCCTTCTAGGTAGAGTTCCTAGAATTCAAAGCTTGCTTGCTTCCCTCCCTCCCTCCAATTCTCCGAATGGATTATTATTCTTAGTTCAAAGGATTTGAAAAAGCAAGCAAACAAACATACAGGAATGAAGAACTGAGAGAAAAGAAGCCATGCAGATACTGAAATAATGCACAGATTAGAGGGCATTGAATCCAGCATCCCAGACCACAAATGAGATGAGCTGGGTTTCTGAAGCCCTTTGCAAAGTATTAGAAGTTTGGGGGGCACAGCTTTTCACCTTGCTCCTTCTCCTGCTCCCACATGTGTCCTTCCTTGATTTACAGGTGATCTTTGCTGGCTGCACCCCCATCCGGTGCTTACAAAGGACAAATGATGGGTGGAGGAAGAGAAAAACATTCCATCTGACTCAACGTATCTGTGCCAACTTGTTCCTGTCCTTCTTGATTTGCAATCACAAAACGTATTTTGGTGTTACATGCCTACAAGTAGAACATACAGTTCGAAGGTTGGCCTTGTCAACTCCCAAGAACCTAGTCAAGAAGGTCCATGATGAGGAATTCTGCAATCTGTATTCATCGACTTCAGGACAGCAACTGATCTTCTATCCTGAGATAGTTAAACTCTCTTTCACTCTGATGAGAATTGATAGCATTGGATCAGGTTACTATCCTTTGCACAAGTATCAGATCGTTGCACTATCTGAGGAGGAAAATAAGTTGATCTAGACATTACCTATGGACAGCAATAGTTGACACTCTGGACTCACACAGTGCAAAGTCGAAGTGTAGTTTGTCTGTTGGTGGTTTAGGATGATGTGCAAATCCAGCTACTGTGGTTTGTAAACCATTCTTTTGGAGCTCAGCTAAGAAGCCACACAGAAACCCAATAAACTCTGTGGCATTTCCAAGAGCTATGACCTCTAAATTTCTGGATTTAGTGAAGAAGCATAATAAAACGCAGCCAGGAACTGTTGCAGAATGGTCTATAAAATTGANTTTTCTGGGAGAGGGCTGGGTGATAACTTCCTACACAACAAAGGGGGACCAGATCAATAATTGGCAATGGGTCTGTCTTGGAAGCTACCCAGATTTCCCAGGAGTTGAAAGCAGGTCCCCCTCACATCACGCTGGTGTGGCCCTTTTGTTTGCAAAGCTCAGTTTGTGATCAGGAATGCAGAGGCCATCCAAAACTTGTGTTCTGCATAAGGAGGCCTAATAAAGAATCAAATGGGGATTATTGTGTTTTTTATGAAGGAGTGCAGGCAAAGCTTCCAAGAACAACATAACTCTTTCGTCAACACATTATGTAAACAGATTATGAAACAGGAGGAATCCAGAGGTGAAAATCAAAAAAAGATGAAGCAAATGATTTACTCAGGGAACTGAGACCCAAATATAGAGAAGATTCTGGAGCAATCCCAATCTTTTCCAATGGAAAACTCAAACGTTTTAAGAATCTTTTGCCCTTAGAGTCATACACCATTCATATTTGGATTAGATGATGCTCAATTTTCTGTTCAATGCTGGACCTTCAGATATCCCAAGAAGAAGCTGGTTTTTCATCAATTTGTAAATCTGGAATGGGCAATCCAACCTTAACCACAACCCTCAAATCTTAACATCACTCATGTGAATGAGAATCCCAGTCCCACCTGCTTCAGATCATTGCTCCTTCCCTGGCAACCCTCCAGCACCATAAAATTGCCTTCCTCTTGGATTGTCTGAAGTAACTTTTCCTTATTGATCTTTTTCAGAATTGTTATCCACTGTGCAAGATTTGCCTTAACCCAGCCTTCCAGATGTGTTGGATGTAACATCTATCACATTTAATTAATGATGCTGAAGAGAATGACAGCTATAATCATAACCATCTGGAAGTCAAGAAGTCAGGGAAGGTTGCTTCGACACAGCCAGAATTCAGGGAAATAAACAAATGTCTTCCTCAACGCTATCCTAAAATGTTACTAAGCCTGAATGTATTTACAGGGCCCTGGAAACTGCTGGCTTCATCAGTCCATTCATTCATTCCATGAATAATCATGGAAAACTGGACAATAGGCCATTCTGCCGAGTTGTAAAGTTTGAAATGCAAGAGTTTATTTTGAAAGGCTAATAGCTTTTCTCACTTTGGAGAATAATTCATATTGTTTCTTTTGCCTCTTATAAAAACTAATTTGTCTTCTCCCAAAAGGGCTTTTTCAAAAGGCAGCTGGATTTTATTTTTTCCTTGAAGATGTTCGAAGAGCCGAGGTGGCGCAGTGCAGTACTGCAGGCCACTTCAGCTGACTGTTATCTGCAGTTCAGC